CCCCCTTTAAAATAATCACATTTTGTTGCTTTGAACCATGCAGTCACAACTGAGCTCTGCCAAAACGCAACTTGAAGATTCTGAGGCAGATGAGACCAATTCAGCTCACCATCCAAATAACAGCATTCCTACAGTAAAGCATGGAGGTGGTGATATCCTGTTATGGGGGTGTTTCTCTGCAGCAGGGACTGCAGAAGGAAAAATGATGGGGCAAAATACCGTCAAATTGTTGAGGAAAATCTGCTGTCAGAAAGTTGTCATTGGGAAGAAGGTTTACCTTCCAACATGACAATGACCCAAAGCACACAGCAAAACTGAGCACACAGTGGTTGAAGGAGAAAAAGGTGAATGTCCTTGCATGGCCCAGTCAGAGCCTAGACATAAACCTCATTGAAAATCTGTGGAATGACTTGAAGACTGCAGTCCACAAACGGTCACCATCAAATTTAACTGAACTTGAGCAGTTCTGCAAAGAAGAGTGGGCAAATAACGCAAAGTCGAGATGTGCAAAGTTAGTAGAGACAAATCCCAACAGACTACATGCTGTAATTAAAGCAAAAGGTGGTTCAACAAAATACTGACACAAGGGGGTGATCCTTTTTCCAAATCAGTGAATCTGTTTTTATTTAAAAAAAATTTCTGACATGTTGGTATTATATCTTTCACTTGGATGTTGTAAGTTGCACTGAGTAAATACAGCTGGATAAAACAAAAACTGTGTCCGTCTTCATTTCAGGCTGCAAAGCAACAAAATGTGATTATTTTAAAGGGGGTGATTCTTTTCTATACCCACTGTGTGTGTGTATATACATATATATTCATTACTCTCATTATTCATTACTCTGACATAAATAATTAATTAAATTAACATAATTAAATTATTCATGCAGAGACTTCATCTCGCATACTTCTGTCATCCTTGATGACACCATCCCAAATGAGACACCCCAAATTGAAATGGTCCAAGATGAACAAACTCCACCTCTCAGATTAAACAATGATCAAAACACTGCACTCAAATGTTCCTCCTGTGATCCAGCTGTCTTTTTTAACTGCTCCTTGGAGATGAGGGATTCTGGAAAGATCAGAGACACTTGAGCACAAATCTCAGATCAATAGAACCAATCGATGGACAGAGTCCTGAAGAGACACTTCATATACTGAACAAACAGCATCGTTTCAATTGCTTTGTTTTGTACATCACAGCGAATAGTTGTCATTCTGAGACTTGATGTTCAAGACAGAAATATTCATCTTAAAGTAAGAACATTGCCTGTTGTTAAAGGGGTCATATGACGTTGCTAAATAGAACATTATGTTGTGTATTTGGTGTAATGCAATGTATGTGGATTAAGGTTAAAAAAACACATTATTTTCCACATAATGTACATTATTGTTGCTCCTCTCTGCCCCGCCTTTCTGAAACGCATCGATTTTTACAATGCTCATCGTTCTGAAAAGCGAGGTGTACAAGGCTGTGAGTCAGAAGCGCCAGACTGTCCTTGCAAAGTTGGAACTGCCCCACAGACGCATTGTAGGCTACTCTGCAGGTTCAGGAAACAGTACTCTATAAAATGTGCTGCACACATCTGAATATTTGGGTTGAACTGTTCTGGAACAGTGTTGTAAATACAACTTAAC